GTGAGTATGGTCCACCACGGGTGAAGGAAATGAGGAGGGTATTGCTCAGATGTATGAAACTATGAGTATAGGGCAATGTCGCTGAATACTGGCACCGTTTTCCACAGGCAGTGGTGGTGTTAGCTGGTATCTCACTCCTGAGAGTAACAAAGGCACAGAGAGCACAGCTGTTGCTGGCATCCCAAAGCCACCTGGGCCTGTATGCTGCTAGCCTGTGTACTGCAGTGGTGCCTGCTGAAGTTATTACTGCCTGGTGTGGGAAAGAGCCCTACTGTGGAGGAAGAAATAAGGCTGTCACCCTTAGAGGAGATGGATTGCAGGGTACCTTCATGGAAGTTTTCATCAAGATCTCTCAGGAGGATTCAAGGGACATCCCTGTGTCCATAAACAAACTGTTCCGCATGCCTCCCCCCCCCCCCCCCCCCGCCCCCGCCTAACTCTAGAGCGGAATGAGAAGCAGATAGCACCGCTACCACTCTTGGTTGTACTGCTTCCTCTTCTAGCACAAGTAAATTAATGAAAAGTCAAAACCTGTGTCGTGCTAATTTGGGGGCACCATCCCTGGAATGGGAAATTTATTTACACATTTACCTGAGGTTCCTTCCCCTGCATTGGGCTCAGCTGTGTTCAGTGGCCGGATGGGCTGGACTGCAGTGGAGTCAAAAACAGCTGGCTCACTACACAGCAGGTTTCCCCAGTCGCCTGTCCCTCCTCCTTCTCTTCCTCATCTACCTCCCCCTCTTTGCTGTTCACAGCAGGGGCCTGTGACTCAGGCTCCTTGGAGGTATTCATGGTGGTGTGTGGGGCCAAGGTGGGGTCTCTGCCAAGTATGGCATGCAGCTCATTGTAAAAGCGGCAGGTCTGTGACTCGGCACCAGATCGGCTGTTGGCCTCCCGCCCTTCTGGTACGCCTGCCACAGTTCCTTGGCTTTCACATGGCACTGCTGCTGGTGTCGTAGCCCTTCTCTTGCATCCCCTGAGCAATCTGCTCCTAGATGTCCACATTTCTATGGCTGGTTCGGAGCTATGCTTGCACAGCCTCTTCTCCCCACAGGCCCAGTAGATCCAATATCTCCTGTCTACTCCAGGCAGTAGTGCCACTGTAGTGCTCCTGTGCCTCTATAGTGCTTAAGTGAAGACATTCCTACGCCGATGGCAGAGCTTCTCCCGTTGGCACAGTTAATCCACCTCCATGACAGGCAGTAGCTATGTCGGCAGGAGAAGCCTTCCCGTTGATATAATGCTGTCTACATGGGGGATTAGGTTGGTATAACTATGTCACTCAGGGATGTGGATCTTTCACACCCCTGAGCAACAGTTATACTGATATTGGTCTGTAGTGTAGACCCAGCTTCAGTGTCTCTATTCAGTCCCAGATGTGAAGAAGAGCTCTGTGTACGCTCAAAAGTCTGTCTCTCTCACCAACAGAAATTGGTCCAGGAAAAGATATTACCTCACCCACCTTGTGTCTCTAATATCCTGGGACCAACATGGCTACAACAACACTATTCTATCTAGAATTATTTTTTTGAGAATTCTGCCATTCCCACGCTTCAAAATATTTTGTGCCAGCAGAGGAGAAACAATCCATTGGTCAGCAAAAAAGAACCCCAGACAAGGCAGTTGAATATAAATGCATTGGACAACTGAGATGCCTACTCCAATCTAAGAATAATAAATAATACCTTTATACTTATATAGTACCTTTCACGCAGACGTATCCAAAAGAGCTTTGGGATATTTAAAGTCATTTATAGAGGAGAAACAATGAATTATTGACCATGGTTAAGTGGATATTACTTCAGAAACTCAGTAGAGAAGAAACAGATACCTAGTTATGATACTTTCTGTAACATAATTTACATTATAAATATTGAGTGCCAAGTACTACTGCATAGTCTGTGCAACTCAATGTAGAAACAATTATGGGAGGAAAATGAAAAGCAAAAGTCTCCTCAGGACCTCAAGTGGGTAAATTTGAAAGTGTTCTGGTTTCAACAGCAGGTTTATGATGGTGAGTTAAGCTGTCGCAAAAACATTTTATTTTCCAGTTGTATATTTTGCAAAGGATCCTTATGGGAAGATATGAAGCCTTTCTAGTTTTATTTGCTCTCAAGAGCAAATAAAATAAAGTTAAACAAGCAAGATGGCACAGCATAATTCTGCTTCTCTACCTATTCTTTTATTCAGTGGATAAAAGGGACTTCATGGTTAAAAAAGTGCTTTTTATATGATCTAATTCTGTGAGAGGGATGCTTGTCAGGCTAAGGCCAAAAATATGTGCTTTGTTAACCCAAATCACAAACACATATTTTAGAAGAAACATTTTCATGACGTAACAACAGAAAGAATGGTCTATGGTGAATGAAGGGCAAAGTGTACACAGCATGGGACATATGACTTGAAGGGAACTCTTGGGTCATTAAGTCCAGTCCTCATTAGAACATAAGTGTTAAATAGTAAATTATATCTTAAAATTCTTCCGTTTTTATTAATCTAAGATGGGGTTAATAGCAGAGGGAAGGAAATACTTTTAAATGTGATTTTTAACCTAATTGTGTCCCTTTACAAATGGCATTTGAAACATACAGCCAGCATTCACTAACAATAAAATGTTCTAAATAATCGTGAAACATAATTTAAAAGGTTAGTGATGAAAGGCCTGCAGTGCAAAGGAAATGTCTCCATTTCTCATCTAACCTCATGTTTGTAAAACTAATTCATTCCATTTATGTTACATTCAGTTTTGGTACAGTATTTTCCATAATGTGACAATACTGTGCACTTCTGAAGCTCTCAGAGCACTTTACAAACTTGTTTTTCCCCATGAAAATGTTCAATACCTAGGTAATAACATTCTGCTTCTGTAAATTCCCACTTTAGTTTGAACTGAATTCATGATAAAGATGGAAGAGATGTATTATATTATCCAATCCACCCTTCTGCCACTATAGGATTATCCCTATGGTTTATTTTCTATTGTTTTGACCAATCCATTTTAAAATGCTTCAAGCAATGCGGCTAGGTTATTCCACAACTCAATAGGTCTTGAGGGCTTGAACTGGGAAGGAAAAAAATATAGTGGTACGTTCCTCAAACTCCACCCCTAAACCAAGCTCTGCCTACCTCAGATACTAAAATGGGACACCACTCAGTAGATTGTGCAGATATTCAAAATAAGATAGTTGTGTTCTGTTGGGTCCCTCAGGCTTTTTGCTTCTCCTCAATGGAGTTTTGATACTAGGTAGAGCCCAATTAAGGCTATACCGGTATACTATACCAGCAATCATGCGCCTCTACTGTGGATGCAGCTTGTATCAGCAAAACTGTGCTTTTGCTAGTTTAGCGTACACTACACCCCTCCCAAGTGAAATAGGGTATTCCACAAAAAGTGTAGTTTTGCTGGTATAACTGAATGTAAAACTAGGGGCTTTTGATAGCACCAGCTAAATTAGTCACTGATTACACCCCTTACCAACATAGCTAAGCTGGCAAAAGTTTGCAGTGTAGACCCGACCTACATTTTAGGCAAATGCTTTTGGGTCTCCGCTCCCAGCATCATGCAATAACATCAAAATCTAAGAGCTTATTTCAAATGAAATTGTTTCTTGTCCCCAGGGTTGCAGAAAATGGCTTGAAAACAATTACATTGAGTTAATGATGTTTCTTTCCGTGAGTCTGCAGGCACCCAACAGCATGCACTGAGCCAGAAAGGAAACTGCATAGCTCCACACTCACCCCCAGAGCAGGCTAGGCCCCCACTGCTCTAAGGAGAGCTAGTTGAGGATGACTTAGCTACCCCATTAGACTCTACAGGATTGGCTCCTGCTTCGTGGGACTCACTAGATGCCCTCCTGTGCTCCAGTCCTCCCCTTTGACACCCACAGGGCAATTTTGGGGAAAAATGGTACTTTCCCAAGTGCCACTCATTCAGGGCACCAAACTGAGTTGTAGATTGTGCAGCTCTTCATAATTTGATTGTCCCCCTCCTTTCTGACATGCTTTGAACAGCAGTGAAATAGTCAACAATGTTGACAATTAAAGGCAAGGCATCTCAGTTACTATCTCACAGAGGTCAATGGAGCAGCTTAAACCTCCCAGAGTGATTGTTTCAGGTTGCCTGCAGACTCGGCCAGACATCACTGCATCCTTTACATGCTGTACAAGTTGTAAAGGTTTTCATTGCAATCATGAGGGCTAGAGGGTTTCATTATTATTATTATTCCAGTGAAAACTGAAATTCTGGAGAAGAGGTTGGCAACATTTTTTTAAAAAAGCACTGGGTTGCTGATCTGGCCCTGTTCCATCCCTGGGACTAGCGTTAATTAAAGAGTATGTTAAAAGAGGGCTGATGGGGTGACACAGAGGAGGGAGGCTGTAGATTGTATCCCATGGCTCTGGAGGGAGAGGGTCAGGTCAGGGAGGAGCCAGGCTGCCAGCTGCACTTCGCTTTGGTCTCCTGGGTGCATTGATCCGGCTTTGAGCTCCAACCCCCTCCGCTATCAAGCAGTAGCAACTACTGGCTGCCCCTTCAGGCTCAGGGGTTGCAGCCCCTGATCGGCAGCGGGAGGCATCTGCCCGGGACCGTCTGTCCAAAGGCAGTCCCGCCTGTGACGGGGGAGGGGGAGCGGGATGCGCTGCTCCAGCCCATACGGGGTCCAGTCCCCCAGAAGCCCGCGGGGACAACAGTGGCTGCAGCTCCCCACCCGCATCGCAGCCCCAGCGGGAGGGAAGGCAGGACGGAGCCCCGGCAGGCAGAGCGGGCGCGGCCAGAGGCAGGTTGCAGCGTCTCCCCCAAGCGCCGCTCCACAGGGTTCCTTTGTGACGTAGATGAGAGAGAGAGAGAGAGAGAGAGAGAGAGAGAGAGAGAGAGAGACGCTGCCTCCGCGATGATTGGCCAGAGCGGGGCAGGGGCGGGCGCAGAACGTCGCTGTTTGGGTTTAAACGTTCCAGCGGGAGGGGCGGGCCCAGGCGCTGTTTGCGGGGGGAGGTGGCGGCGACGGCGACGCCGAGCGGGGTCTCTCGAGCGGGCTCCTGGGAGCGGCCGCGGCCCGGCCCCGGCATGGTGCCCGCGCGGCCCCGCGTGAAGAGCGAGTACATGAAGCGCTTCAAGGAGCCCAAGTGGGAGTCGTGCGGCCCCTGCTACCAGGAGCTGCTGCACTACCGCCTCAGCCGCCGCCTGCTGGAGCAGGCGCACCGGCCCTGGCTCTGGGACGGCTGGGAGCCCGGCAGCAGCGGCAGCAGCGCCGGCTCCCCCTCGCCCCCCAGCGCCAGCCCCCCGGCCGCGCAGCAGCAGGAGGCGGCAGCGCCAAGCGCGCCCGGTCCCGGCGGCAGCAGCCGCGTTGGGGAGTTGGGAGCAGCGGGGAAGGCGAGCCCGGCGGAGCCCCTGCGCGCAGCGGGTAGGTAACAGGCGGGGCCGGGGGCGGCGGGAGCCCTGCTCCGGAGGGGCTGGGCCCTGACTGCCCGTGGGCAGGTGCTCCGTGGTATGGGGCCGGGAGAGCCAGGGTGGGAGGTAGGCGTCAAACCTTCCTGCTCCCCCTCTCGGGCTGCTCCTGGGCGCGTCGGGCCGCCCCTGGGTCGCTGCTAGACTGTGCCGCTCCATCGGCCATAGCAGCCTCCCGCTAGCGGGTTTCGGATTAAATCCCCCCTCGCTATCCCCGCTCCGGGCGGTGCAAAGGGAAGGCGCTTCCTGCCTTCAGCTGCTCCTGGCCTGACTGATGTAAGACCCGGGCCTTCCTGCTCGCCCGTGGGTGGGGGAGAGGAGAGTCTGCTACACTGTCCCCTTTGCTTCTCTCTTGTGGGGGGGCCTCCAGCCCTGGTGGTCCCCGCTGTCGCTCACAGCTTTGCGCAGCAGGAGAATCATGTGATTCTTGACAGCTTGGCTGATGCCCACAAGGCATCACTGAAACTGAGGAGGATCCGGGTCCCTTGTCACCCAGAGCAGCAAGCGTTTTCATTGCCCCACGCAAAAGGTGCAGGAGCAAACAAACAAAAACCAAACAATCCCCACTCTCCTATGAATTTGTGCCCATTAATGTGGTGATTTGGTTCCCAGAGCAGCTGCCCTGAAAGCCTGCCCTGTGAAGGTCTTGTTAATTTCACTCTTTTTAAAGCTGTTACTGGCTGGGGCCTGTTGGGAGGACTGCCTGTAGGCTCAGACAGATAACGCTGCTTTGGTTATGCTCCTTTCCCATTTGAAAGGCTTTTTTCTGACCCATATTTTTCCTTTTAAGGTTTAAATTCTGCAGGAACTGACTGTCTCCTCTCTTGACATGACCACTTTCCTGCTTGTGGAGGGTGATACACAAATAGGGTTTTTTTTAGCCCCCTGGCTCAAGCGATTTCTGTTTATTTGCAGCCTAGTAACTTATTGTTTGCTTGGAAGCTGAAGGTCTAGCTGACTCCTCCTTTCATAATTCAATACCCTTTCCTAAAGTTTCACCCTAGATTTCATAATACCCTTTACCTGAAGGAGGCTAACCACAGAGCATACTGTACCAATTTTCCACACCTTCTTGCTGACTTTTCCAGTTGCTTCTGAGTTCAATTAAAGGTCCTGGCCCCATTATAATTCTTAAGGAGCTTGGACCAAGCTACCTCTGTGCCTGCCACTTGGTTCCCAACCCTCCTCCAAGACCCCTGTGTTCATCAACTGGACGAACCCAGAGTGAGGCCACTGGTAGCTGGAGACAAAGTATTTTAGGTGCTAGTCCATTACTGTGGAACAGTTTGCCAAAGATCAGCTTGTATTCTAATCTTCCCACCTTCATAGCCCAATGTAGAATGCAGTGTTGAAGTTTATTCGTGATAACAGAAGTGGTGGTTTGGGATGGAAGGGGAAGTGCAAGTATACGTGACTGTAGCCTAGGCTCTAGTCTGCTTGAGTCCTTTACTTTTCATTTTACGTTATTTTCAGTGCCTAGATACTACTGTGATGTATTTAGAAAACTCCAAAATTAGGAATGTGGAGAGATTTTATTAAATTAGATATTTTTCTTTGAAATATAGAGAATAAATATTTTGGTTTGTGAAAACAATGAGGCTTGGTGTTATATGGCACTGTAAATAATTGTCTTACCCCCCCCCCCGTGTCTTTTTCCTTTGAGTCCTATCTGTAATGAAGTATAGACAATCCTTGAGTCTAGTTTATCCTAGCAATAAGAAGACTACAAAAACAACAGCGTGGGATGTTAAATTGCATTGTATCATACATTTGTAGCTCAGGGAGTTCTACAATTCCAGGTTAAGTGAATGTCTGGCATGTTTCATAAACACAATAACCTTGGAAATTGAAGCTCTGTGCACATCTTCCTGCTATGCCCTGCTGATGTGTCTTGCATACCCCGGAGAGGCTACTTCTAGGGCAAGTGCAGCTGATTCTCATGCTCATTCATTCCTTATCTGTCAAGACTGCCATGCTAGTTGTGATAACTTGCTATGTGGACCGTTACCCATTATCAATTCTTGTCACCCAGCGTTGTGTAGTAACTACTTTTGGTTATCACGGAACTGTTCTGTATTAGTCAGTCACACAAGTACTAAGTGTGATTTTGGGCAGACACCATAGGCCCTAATCCTTGGGAGTTCCTGAGCACTTGACTCTCCCATTGCAGTGAATGGGTACCTGGCACCTGCAATACCTCAAAGTCTGACTCTGACACATCTACAGTATACTAACATAAGTAAATTAAGTAAAAATGTGAAACTTAAAATGGAGGATGTGATGTACAAAAACTTAATAATAAGCAGTCATACCATGTATATAGATTTATTAGGGCATCTATACAGTTAAGTGCTTTGTGAGGCGAAACACTTTAACCACTGAAGTTCTGTGTATTCCTTTTAAAACCTCTTTTCTTGCAGCACTTTTTGTAAAATGAAGGTGGTATTGGAGTACCAGGTACATTAATGACTGTAAATCATGAATTGTCATGACCCAGGCTAGTGGGAAACTGTAACTGCAGCATTTGTGGAGCATCTTTAAAGAAACAAATTGTGGCAGTATCTCTCATCCGGACTCACAGCTACTTATGTAAATTGTTGCTATGGTATCAGTGTATCTTTATAATTACATAAGCAGTTTCTGTGGCGAAAAGCAGCAGCAAGGAAGGCTACATGCCAGTTACTGGAGTTTTGAGAACATTGTAACTTTAAAGTATGTTTACATGGCACACCATTGATGGTGGTATGTAAGGTGTGTGTAGCTATGTGCTGTTGTGAAATCAGGCTGTGTTGACACTGCCGTGTGTATCTACACATGGCAATGAAAGGCTCTGGTACGGGGAGGCAGTGAGGAAAAGCTCGGGTAGAGGGGAGCTGCTGGAGACTTTCCTTGTGGCAGGGTTGCTACTAGAGCCTTTCCCCACAGCAGGGGAGTGACAGAATATTACACTGCTAAAAATGGCAGTGTAGAGAGTGAAGGCACTGGTTGGGCATGTAGAGAGCCATGTAGGGTATGTACTGACAAATGTCAATACTGACAGGTGTGTCTTTACTTCAGCATCTACACTGCTATTTATACCTGTGTTGGGGGCAAGAGGGGCATGTAGTGTTGCTGTAAGGAGTCTACAGTGTAGACCCTTAGATTCAAGCCGGGAAGCCACAACTTGACATTGGTCTCTATAGAAGATATTCCATGAAGTTATGTATATAGCTACACTGGGTAGCAAATTGATAGACTGGAGGCTGGCTCTCTGGTCATTCCTCACAGATGGATTTTAGGTGATCTTGATAGACAGCTGCTCATCTTCATTGGGAGCCTTCTTGTACAGGACCCTATAGAAATCAATCCTCTTCCCCCTCCCCCCCATCACTAGTGGATATCATGAGCTGCTGTGGGTTCAAGTGCCAACAGTATGTTTACATGGTTATACATATCCTTCTCCAGCTGGATCAGGCTTTACTGTTGCTCACTGTCCTAATGTGTAGCAGAAATAAGTATTTGGATGGAGACAGCTGGTTCACATTTCAACCTGTGTAATATAGCACTGATTCTGGTGAGCAGGGGAAATAGCAGAAACCATGCCTGGCTCCCTCTGTAGCCCCTCAGTCATGGAAGATAGCACAGTACAGCATCTCCATAACAGACTCCTACACAAGGATCCATTCTAGGTCCTCTCCTTGTCAACATGTATACTGATGACCTGCCAATAAGTACATATATGTAGATGACCTCTCTCGCTGATGTGGGTGACTATCTAAACGATATCCAAGGGTCGCTTACCCAGGACATGAATGCTTTAGCTACTTACACTAAGGGAATCTAAAATGGTGGTAACAACTTTCCATCACCAGACCAATCAACCCCTTCCAATCTGTGTTGAGGATTGTTCATTCCCTTTTCAGCCAGTTGTCACTCATTTAGGAGTCAATTGGACCATAGTCTAACATACCATTCCCATCTAGAACACTTAAAGAAAAGATCTCCTCCTGCACTGCCTTGATCCAGAAGCTATCTGGAACCTCCTGGGGAGCAGAGGCAAATGTTCTACAAACATGGGTCCTAGCGCTGATATTTGTTCCAATGGAATATTTTGTAGCAATGTAGTGCCGAAGTTGGCATACACCTTGTTAGTTTAGAGCTGCACGCAGCCCCACATTAACGTCTAATTTATGTTTTGGGGAGCTATATGAGCCAACATTTTGATGAGCTGCCATCACCTTAAAACTGCATGGAGGGCTTTTGACTGATGAAAACAACCTGTCTCACACGAGGCTGACATGGTTCCAATAGGTGCAAATAAGCAACACACACACTTCCCCCAAGATCTGCCTGCCTCCAGGAGAAGGGAGGGAGAAAAAAAAAACAAACACCTATGGTTCCTGCTGACTTGTCATGATTGACTGCACAACATCCATTTGTGGCAACTGTTCATGCACTCATGAGCCTTAGCAAGAGAGTCTGAAACCTAACTTTTCAAATGAGATTTTAGTGTCTCTGCATAATTGCAGAATAAGGTTTTTTGTTCTTTCCTTTTTTTAAGGAAAAGTCCCTCTTCACAGCATGACCAGAGGACAGTTATGCTGGGTATAATATACAGTAGCTCAGAACTCCTATTGGTCACTCTGTTGAAACCCCCCCCTCCATTTCATTCTTTGCTTAATGTCTATAATTTTCAAAGCACAAGGAGAGGAAAAATTATGAAGAGGTAGTATCTACACTTTCCAACCACTTCTCTTGGAAAATTTCATTACAATTAGAAGTGCTGTGTGGGTAGCTAAATATCAGCATTTTCTTTACTTAGCTCTTCCAAGCTTTGTGACTGACATCCACCCACACACTGCAGTTATCTGATAGGGCCTTACCAGGAGATGTGCTTGTTTGTTATCATGCAGTATACATTTCTTTTCTTTTCTCTTTTCTGTTTGTTTTTGTTTAAGAGCTAAGACTGCAACTTTA